GCTGAACGTATTTGCTATGGGACTTTTCTCAGAAAATTTTGCTGACCCCTGCCAACCCTTTCCACACTGTTCAATACAGTAGCTTCTAGCCACATGTAGATGGTGTTAGTTCAGTGCAAAAAGCATGTCACATTTGAAAGACAGAGTAGAAACAAATAAAAGGAATGTAAATTAGCTTACCAACTTTCAGATATTTACAGTGGTACCTTGGTTCATTGACTTAATTTGTGCCAAGATTTTGGGGAAAATGGTTGTGTTCCTCGTGTGAAAAAGGAGGTCACTGTTGTGTCCCTCACCCAGCATGGAGTTCCTGAACTGTAGCAAAATTCTGCTGAACAATTCTTTTTGTGAACTGAATTGTTTAAGAACTGGACATTCGTGAGGCCAAGTATTACTGTATTATACATTGAGGTAATATTAATTAAAATGAGCTCTGCTTATTTCTATTTTTTAAAATGTGATTACAGGAAAATTTAACACATGATTTGAATTTGTGATTCACATTACATTTCTATTGCTATTACTGCTCTAGAGCCTGGAATTTGAGGATCTATGACCTCTAGAAAACGTCAGAGAGAGAGAGAGTAAATAAGGGAAGGAAGGAAATGGTCTCTCCCTTGTATTTGCAAATATCTTTCTATAAGAACAAAACAATTTTAAATTCAACTATTCCTGGTAGTAAGGAATTTTCCAAAAGTATGCATTTGAATGCCTATGGAAACAGTCTTAGATGGGTTCTTGTGGAAGCATACTCTGACCGAGAATTTGAATTGGGAGGTGAACCAGGAAGCACCTGGAAGGGATAGGAAACAGAGAAGGGAAGGAAGTGGAAAGAGGGCATATCAGTGATAGAGTTGCTGTGGACACACACACTCCCTCCCAGTCGGACCCTGGGCAGGATTTTATAGATCCAGTGTCACAATGGTCCCATCCAGGTGAACAAGTTGTGCTGTTCATCCATCAGTTGCCAGTAGTTTCCAGCAGAGGACATCTCCTAGGGGCATCAATCATCTCTGACTCTCCCCAGCCCTACAACCTGCCTTCCTGCCTGGAGCCTGGTACAGCCCAGGTTGCAGAAAGGCTCAGAGGCTTGCCAGAAATTGACATCAGCAAACAGAATGACGTCTGCCCTTCCAGTTTCTAGCACTGAAATCAATGTTTCATTCTCAAATCAAACATTCGTGTAGTTTTCTGGTATGTGACCAGAAAACAGTATTTTCTCATAGCAGTTTAACAGTAATGTAGATTGGTAACTGATCATTAGCCTCTGATTATGGATAGACAAACTTAGCCCAAGATGTGCCCATTGTCATTTGTCCCAGAGAGTTGAGCTGGGACAGGTTCCTTAGTATCCTTGCTTGTATGTGACCACTCATGCCTTACTCCTTGGAATTCTACAAAGCTCTACCTGAAATGGAGATGTAAATATTTTGAAGTGTTGTATGTGAAAAGAAGAAATTAAAACTAATGTTTCTGTACACTGTGGAATTTTTTTGGATATCCATACAGAAGTAGATACTGATACTGACTTAGTTCCAAGGCTTTTACACCAAACAAAGAAGTTCTCTCTCTTTGTACAATGCACAGACAAAATCAAGAGGTTATAGGTCTTGCTGTCCACCACACAGGATGTTAGTGATAAAGTGAAATTCCATACAAACCTCCAGAGAAGTGTCTGTAGAGGGAGTGTATGGATGCCTGGCTTATTGAAGTCTGGGTCATGTTACCTTCCCATTACCCAGATGCTCCTTGCAAGTGTTGTCAGGCCCATTGGTATGAGTCTTTCTCTGAGCTTAATTTCCCTTTATTATATTTCTAACTGACTCAGTAATTCTTTGCGGACTTCAGTAACACTTGTGCTATTTAAATTTGAAGAATCCCAAAGGATCTGGATAGGTCAAAGTGTTTAAACCACAGGCTTTAGTCTATTTATTAGTTGATTAAAAACAGATTTTATACATGATGTATGCTTAATAAAAGGAGAGAAAGCAACAGATGTTTGTAAAGTCCAAATGTGTTGGATTGCATTTATTTGGCTCTGATACTGACTAGCTTTAGAGAATTCGTACCTATGACAATTGAACTGTAAACAGTTAGATGATGTATTTCCCTACAAATTTCCTGCTGTTAAGGGTCAGCCAAAAAGAAAAGTAAAAGGATTCCCTAAGATTAACACAGCAGAAGAAGCTGACTTATATTCCATACAACGGTCATAGCTAAATCAAGGACACTGAATAATGGAATCCCTCAGAATTATTCTCTGGTCCCTGACCATAAAGTGCTTAACAATTGCAGTTCATTTACTCTAACCAATAGGAAAAATTTTCACTTTTTCCCCCAGGGAAGCAGGAGAGTTATTGTTAAGAGGTCTGAAAACAATTTTTTTTTCTTTGATACAAACACAGCATCCTTAGGTTGCACCTTAAAATAATTCTGTGTGGCTGATACACTTACTTTCTGGTCTTTCCTTGTATCCCAGCTTTTAAGTGAGAATTGGTTCTTTTTCGTTTTTAAAATATTCATATTTTAAATGTTTTGAGTGTTTCAAAAACAATATTAAAGGTTTCTTATATTTCAGTCTGGATGAAATAAGTGCAGAACCTCTCTCTGCAGTACGAACATGTGAAAATCCTAGGCAGAATATTTTAAAGAATACACAGTCAATCCTAAACATAAGTGAAAAATCCCCCACAATCAGAAACAATGTAGAATGGTGGTGGTGGGGGGGTTGGATTGAAGTACAGCTGCTCCCAAGAAGTGGAGATGAAATGGGGCCCTGAAGACATTAGGGACACTGCCTGTGGCAGAAGCCCCATGTAGCTGGAGGTAAAGATTCCTTTTATGTACACACTGAGCTCAAAAAAGGCACCTCATACCTTTCCCGGCACTGATGCCAGATATGGAGCTCTCATGGAAGGAAACAGTGGCACTGAGCCAACTCAGGATCTGGGCTTCAGTTGCACTTGGGCGTCTCCTGGGAGTGCTTTCTTTGCAGAAAGAACCCCTAGTCTTAACCTTGGAGTGTGCATCTCACCTGGCTGGGCTATATCAATCCCCAGATCGCAGCACAGAGAACAAAAGTCATGTCAGATGAACTGTCACACAAAAATTACAAGACACAAAATGAAATCGGATCCTTGCATAACATTAAACAAACACAGGGAGACATGGAATTGTCCTGTCTCAAAATAGCTTAAGAGTGTGTACACTAAACTCCGCTGAAATTATAGAGAAGGGACTTGCATGTTTAGAACAGTGCAGAAAGCAGTTTACCAAGAAAAGGGAAATGTGGAAAAGAACCTACTGGGAATGAAAATGCAGTCATTGAAATAAGAAAGTGCAAGCAATCAAATAAATGCCAGATTAAACTGCCTAAGAATCACCAGAGAGGGGCCGGGGATTTAGCTCAGTGGCATAAGTGCCTGCATTGTAAGCAGGCAGTCGTGAGTTCGATCCCTGGTACTGATAAAAACGAAAAAGACCAAAAAAAAAAAAAAAAAAAAAAAAGAATCACCAGAGATTTCTGCTTCTGGGACATTCATTTTAAGCACCAGGTAAAAATGATTCTTTCCCTAAATATACCTTTATAATTAAAAGAATCTAGAAAAGTAGAACAAGCTAAACTTTTTATAAATGCTACAACCTAATGAACTGTTATCACCTTTCTGAACTTGTTATTTTTCAAAATCTCTTTATTTTTGTTTTGTGTTTTGCGTATGAGTGACAGAGCCATGCCTTTTTGCATGTGGGGCAAGCGCTGTATCACTGAGCACTCAGCCCTCAAATCTCTTTTCTCAGATGGCATCATAAATCTGAAATCTATTGTCTTTTTCATAAATTTTCTCACTGTATTTTCTATATTTGAGGAAATGTTTATATTGCAAAACACATAGTTTCCTTAGCCTTTGCCCTCTTGTGTCTCCCTGATGTTACCATGATGCTGATCTATTCCTTGCCCGTGAAAGAGTCTTCTTCAGGCTTGTTTCTGCCATATTTCATCTTCCCAAGAAATTTCCATTCTTGTCGGACAAAAACTCTCTGCCCCTCCTTCCAGCCTCAGCTAATGGATTCTGTCTTCTTAGAAACCTTCTCCAAGCAGCCCTCAACTCCGTGCTTCCCTCCTTGCATCTCTCTCCCATTGCACAAACATCTCCCTGCCATGAGCAGATGCTTTTTACTTTTACTTCTCCAGTGTCTCTTGCAGAGTATGACATACACTAGAAGCTTAAAAAGTACTTGTGTGAATGGCTAAATCAATGGATAGATGGGATACATGAAGAGCACATGAAATGGAGGAGTGGACAAATTTAATGAGTCTTACCCAGAACAGAAGGTTATTGTGTTTGAAAATATGATTCAACATTCATTCAGAGAACTTTAAATTTGATGCTCTAAAGGAATAGAGACTAATTCTCTAGTCTTAAGCAGGATAGTGATATAAATACAGTGTACGGGGAAATTTGATCTAGCACTGATAGACAAAGAATGTACTATGAGTAAATGCATGTGACAAAGACTTCTTATAAATGCCTGTAAATGGCCATATTGTCAACAGTATCTGTTCAATTCAAACCCCCGTTTAAGAATTAACCTCAGTGTGACCATTAAATGGTAGATCCTACAAGTCCAATAGTTGACAGTTTCATGTAGGAATATATTTCTTATATTATCACTATTTCTGACTCAGGTAAAGGAATAAAAACAGAATTACTAGCATTCTCCCTACCTCATGACCTAACCGTAATTGATAGCTAATTATTCAGTTAATATAGGTAAGTTGGTGCAAGAAGCAAGGAAAAATATGTAATCTGAATATTTCTGAAATTTTCTTTGAATGCAAATTTTGAAATTCTAGTTTAAATCTAAAAACAATTGAAATTGTATTTATTTCATTGAGGTATCTGAAAAGTACATATGTTTATCCTGAGTATGAGTACTTTCATGTGTACTAAAGTAGAAAAACATACAGAATAACATTTTTTCTGTCTTTTTTTGAACAGCAAAATTTAGAGAGTAACCTCACCAACCTTATTAAGAGGAACACAGAACTGGAGACCCTCTTGGCTAAGCTCATCCAAACATGTCAACATGTTGAAGTGAGTATCTCTCTGTCTCTGTCTCTGTCTCTGTCTCTGTTTCAGTCTCTGTCTCTGTGGAAACTACTAGATCATGGTTCTTACATACTCATATTTTCTAATTTTAAAACAGGACTTGCTTAAAATTATATCTTTTGCACAAGCCAACATTAGTTGATTGAAATTGGAAACAATTAGAACCTCAGAGAATCTCGCTCCATCTGAGGCTTGCCCCCAATCTCTTAGGGGGACCACAAGTTGGAGGTCAGCCTGGTAACTTACTGAGACCCTATCTCAAAATGAAATAAAAAACAGTGGATGTGTAGCTTAACGGTGGGATTAATTCTCAGTCACACTCACACACACACACACACACACACACACACACACGCACACACACAAATAGTACAGAAGGCAGTCAGGTGCTGTACTAGTAGAATATTGTACGTTTGATAATAAGATCCCATTTTCACACACTAGCATCTGTGAAGTGGGGCTACAATTTAAAATTAATGATGTGATAGGCAAATGATTGGTTGGTTTTTTTCTTATTTCTTCTGGCACACAAAATATGAGCAAGCCATTTGACAGTCCCCTAGACTGGAGGAGGAATTAAAAGAAAATGAGTAAAAATTGCCTGAATCTTTATGGTCAAGTCAAGACTTCAGGCTAATACTGTACATTTCACAGCTACTGTTTCAAAAATTATTCCAGGCATTGGGATGTCAGCTTATGCACGCAGTGTGATGGTGTTTGCTGATGACACATTCCTCAGCACAATAGAAATTAGCAGGTGCCACTCTTCCATACTTTCAGCTTCAAAGCATCTCTGCTATGCCAACGCCAGCACTTTAATAGAGGCCTTCAAATACTTGCTATTCATAAAAGTTGTCCTTTTACTTGCAAGGGCTCTCTTTGTGATTGGAAATTTAAGACTGATTATGAACTGGCAGCTTTTTCAAACTTCAGATTGTTGATGCTTTCTGCCATAGTGGCCCAAGCGTGGGAATAGCGGTGATTTCCTCTCCTAGCGGAGCCACCCACTCCAGCTGTTTATCATTTGAGTGCTGATAAGTGAGGTATGACAGATGGAGGAGGGAAAGATAAACGGAAAGCAAGGGGGCAAGATGAGAGCAACAGGAAGGAAAGAGAGCGGATCTGACCATCCAGTGAGCTCACTATTTCATGCCATAGTTCCCCTGGCTTTAAGAACTATGTAATCATCAAAGCAGAACAACCAGTCTTTGCATCCCAATGGATGGAGCTGGGGGTATGTGGGCAGCAGCAGTAGCTATAGCAATAGCAGAACCCAGTCTTTTCCAACCTTTTGCTTGGACTCACTGTGGCAACCATCTCCCCAGGGAAAAACATTGAGCCTTGTTGATTAAACTACATTAAAAATAATAATGAACAAGCATAATGTTTCCACTTTTGTAAAGCGAGTATGTATTATATGAACAAATGGATGAACAAAATAAAATAATTCATGTGCCATATTTTGTTTATGATGTGATGGCATTTGATGTTTGGGATAAGAAGAAAGAATTATTTCTCTTTGGTTAAAAAAATTACCTGTGCTTTATGGTAAATCTTATAAATGCTTAATGGATTGGGTGATTATTTCATTCCATTTCAGCGAGTTACTTCTTAAGGCATTAGTGTCTCTTTTCCATTATGGCTGGTAGTGATTTCAGAACAAATGCCTCATTCCTAATGTAATATTAGTATGACTTGAATTTACAAAATGCTACTCATTTTAGCATCATGTAAAATTACATTATATCATGTTCAGCAGTGTCAGATGAGAGATAAATTCAAGAAATTGACAAGCAGTCTATTTTTATTTCAGGAGATCAAATACTATTTTAGTTGAGATACAGGCTTTTAAAATAACACTATTACTGAATCAATTGTAGCAGAATTACAAATAGAAACATTTATGTCATTAGAAATTATTCTAGACAAGGAATAAAAAAATATTTATTCCTTTATTGCTTTGTATAAATTCTTTGGAATGGAAACAAATGTTTGTGGATGAATAAATTAAGAACTTAGAAAATATATTCCAGATAAAAGTTAAATAAAATTATTTATGAGTTAAAAATGGTAGTAGTAGTACCTATTTTACATTTATTCCTTTATTCCTAACTATTAATATGCTTAAAGAATAATTTAAAAATTTTCGAACACACAGTTCTCATATAATAATCAAGCAAATCCGTGTCAGAAATTTATTTAATTCATTAATGAAGGAAAAGCACAATAGTAAAGCCCACTCAGTAGAGGAAACTGTAGCCAAGTGCAATGCTCATAGATGCATAATAAAGGAAAAAGAATAATAAACTTGTCCATAAGTGGGGAGGGGCTAAAACTCAATGTGAGGCCCTGGGTTCGATCCCCAACTAAAGCAGGCTTTAGGGAATACATGCTATATGAGTTACATATACCCTTTGAAGGGATGCAGTCTTCTCTGTGCCTTCTTTCCAAGCTTTGGGTAATTTTGCTTAAGCTGACTCTCTTCTGTCCACTGTTGGTCTTCGAGCTGCATTTGTTAAAAAAGTACTTCAGAGTGAAAGTGTAAATTTTTGCCTAGTATCAATTACTTTTTTTGTTCAGTATTAGGGATTGAACCCAGGGCCTCACACTAAGCTGCATCCACAGATTATTTTATTTTAAAACAGAGTTTTGCTATGTTACTAAGGTTCCCCAGGTTGGCCTCAGTCTTTCTGTCCTTGCAATCCTTCTGTGTCACTGTCCCATGTTACCAGGTTTATGGGTGTGTACCTCCATTACCAGTTGCAGTAAATTACTTGAATTTGTTAAAAGATTACACTGGTTTGTTCAAGGCATTACTGTGAAAGGAGCGCCCAACATATGTGGCACTGTGCCATATACCAAAGGGCCATGCTCACAGGATGCTCACGATCTTCCCAAAGACAAATGAGCACCTGCAACACAACACAAGTAGAAAACGGTAAATGCCACAAGAGGCGTGTATTATGTACTTCAGAAATTCACAGAAACAAAAAATTACTTCCAGTTGTGCTGTGGAAAGGTAGCTTGCCATCCTGAACTACCTCATGGTGCAGCTACCCTTTGGATTTATGGAGCGGAAGAAAAGTACTGCTTTCAGGGTAAGCTAAATCATCGGGATGGGAAATGGATAACGTATCACAGAGCAAGGACTTTGTTCTGGAAAAATGGGAGGACAAATAGGAACCAGCTTTGGAGAGACCAGAGCCTTTCATATTGCATTTGTGTTTGAAGTTTGCTTTTGAAGGCTCAGTGCGTGTTTCACAATTATAATTGGACCCCCTAAGTCTTTTCAGGAAAGGTATTTTAGCTATTGGGAAAATAATATGGATGTTTTTGTGCAAAACAAATTACTCACGTAAGGGAAACCTATGCAACACTAGGAAACTCTGAAAAGCTGGTGGGATTTATTAGGCACCCGCATAATATTCTTTTAAATTAGTGCAGTGGAAAAGAATTTGCTGATTTACATACTAGGTTCCTAGACTGTACTTTTTCCTCTTCCTCTTTCTGAAAGTGTCCTTCTGTTTGGGTACAGAGCATTCCTCGGGAAAATGATTCCCATGCCAGCCGGAGCTTAAAACCTCTGCATAGAGGCAAATCCTAATTGTTATAAATTAAATCAATGAATTCCTTCCCACCACTAAGAAGGAAATTCCACATCCATATGAGTCCATCCCGCCTCCTGGGACTTCACCTCTGCTTTTCTTTAAAAATGGAAGTGTTTGAAGGACTCTTTCCTCCCCTTCCTCTTGTTTTTATAACTTGCTTTATAAATAAGGGTAAGCAAATTAAATGGCTTTTTGATTGTTTAAGTGCCAGATCTTTTAACACTAGAGAACCAAGGGCATGAAGGCCAAGGCAGTTTGGGACACAGGAGGTAGAGGCATTGAATTCTTCAGAAATGATTGTCTAACTCCATGGCTGGAATTCTAAAAATGAATGGGAATTTTTGCCCCTCTGGTTTATTTTATTCAAAAGAGCAGTACAGCAGAAAGTTCCCTTGAGAGGAATTTGGAATTGATGTGAGATGGAGTGTAGAACAAACTCTTTGAGAAGTATGATCACTTATGAGAAGTGATCATAATTGGAATCAGCTGCAGAAGTTACCTTTGCTAGGTCAAACACCGGATTATATTGGTTTTTCGTCACATTCCCCTCCCTATTTCCTTTGGAAAATCGGGAGACCTGGCTCATTAACTAAGCAAATATTAGCATGAGTGATGTGCCTCATATTCTGCACACATTCTAAGAATCAAGCAGTCATGTAGCACATACAACATGCTGATCCATGGTAGATGTTCACTGTGGGAATTACAGGTGATGGAGACTATAAATTCACAGTGAGGGAATGATAGAGAACAACTGGGAAAGAATCACTGATTTCCATAGCTGTTTAGAGAAACTGGAAGTGCAGCGGACTACATTCTTCTAAACCAAAGTCACACGAGGAGCACATACCTAATCTAATATCCCCTCAAAGTCCTGGTCTTGGCTACTTTGGCTTTGCCACTATGTTTTAAATATTCTTTTGCTTTTATTTTATTGTCAAGTTTGCTTTCTTACTGAGGTTTCCCAGTGCTGTTGACATGTAGAGTGACAAATTAAGAACCAATTTATTAGATCTCTGCTCCAATAATGAGCTCTGTATATTGAGACGTCGGAACAGAATGAGTTATCTTGTGTGTTATGTAGCTTTAGAAAAAAAAAATTTAAAAAGCCTAGCAGCAAACAACTGTAATGCCAGAACTCTTGAAGGCTGACACAGGACAAATGCAAGTTTGTGCCTAGCCTGAGAGGGTGTGGGCTGCAGATGTAGCTCATTATGATGGTCCTGAGTCTAAAATTAATACTGAAAAAAACTTGCCAAAATAGATGAGGTCTATAGAAGAAGACTTTTAAGTCTTTGGCCAAGCCCTAAAAGCAATTATTTGTAAATTTTAGCATTGATAATATTTTTTTAAACTGGGTTAAAAAGAAAGATGAAC